TCGTTCATTCATTCAGCACCTACTGTATGTTAGAGGTAGCCCAGTTATGGCCTCTACCCTTGGTTGATGTAGTCTAGCTGGGGAGATTCCCACGAACTATAATATGTCATATAGAAGTGCTTTGGGAAGATGAAAGAAAACTAACTTTGCTTGGATGATTGGAGGAGGTCTTTATTGAGGAAGAACCCAAAACAACTGCAAATAGTTGTGTAGGCTTTGCCCTGAACAGGACAGCAGGCCAAATGAGTGAATGGGAATGAGAATCAGCCGCTACCCCACTGCCCAACCATGTGCCTTAGNTCCAGCTCTTTGAGACCCCAGGGACTGCAGCATACCAGGCTTCCCTGTCCTTAACTATCTCCTGGAGTTTGCTCAAATTTATGTCCGTTGAGTCAGTGATGCTACCTATTCATCACATCTTCTGCCACCTTCTCCTTTTGCTTTCAATCTTCCCCAGCATCAGGGTCTTTTCCAGTGAGTCGGCTCTTCGGATCAGGTGGCCAAAGTATTAGAACTTCAGGATTAGTTCTTCCAGTGAATACTTAGGGTTGATTTCCTTTGGGATTGACTGGTTAGATCTTCTTGCAGTCCAAGGGACTTTCAAGAGTCTTCTCCAGCACCACAATTCAAAAGCATCAATTCTTTAGAGCTTTATATCCATCAACTATCATATCCATCTTTATGGTCCATCAATTCTTTAGCCTTCTTTATGGTCCAATTGTCGTATCCATACATGACTACTGGAAAAACCATAGCTTTGGCTATATGGATCTTTGTCTGCCAAGTGATGTCTCTGCTTTTTAACATGCTGTCTAGGTTTGCCATAGCTTTCTTTCCAAGGGGCAAGCATCTTTTAATTTCATGGCTACAGTCACCATCCGCAGTGATTTTGGAGTCCAAGGAAATAAAATCTGTCACTGTTTTTACTTTTTTCCCCTTCTGTTTGCCATGAAGTGATGGGACCAGATGTCATGACCTTAGTTTTTTGCATGTTGAGTTTTAAGCCAGCTTTTTCACTGTCCTCTTTCACCTTCATCAAGAGGCTCTTTAGTTCCTCTTCACTTTCTGCCACTAGAATGGTATCATCTGCATATCTGAGGTTGTTGATATTTCTCCGAGGAGTCCTGATTCCAGCTTGAGTTCATCCAGTGCAGCATTTTGCATGATATACTCCACATGTAAGTTAAATAAACAGGGTGACAATATACAACCTTGTTGTACTCCTTTCCCAGTTTTGAAGCAGTCCATTGTTTGATGTCCGGTTCTAACTCTTGCTTCTTGACCCTCATACAGGTTTCTGAGGAGACAGGTAAGGTGGTCTGGTACTTCCATCCCTTTAAGAATTTTCCACAGTTGTGATCCACAGAAAGACTTTTGCAGTCAATGAAGCAAAAGTAGATGTATTCTCTTGCTTTTTCTATGATCCAGTGGATGTTGGCAATTTGATCTCTGGTTTCTCTGCCTTTTCTAAACCCAGCTTGTACATGTGGAAATAAAGCCTAAAATCACGGGATCAGAGAAAGTATGAGATGATTTTAAAAGATAAAGAATCTTGATATTATTAGACTGACAGATGTTAGAAAGCTAGGTAATGTAAAGTGCGGGCACAGTAACTCATCCAGCACTGGTGAGTGGGCAGACTGGTACATTCTGTGAAGCAGCTTTGGCAGTGAACTCCTCAAGCACATCTTATGAGCCAGCAGATCCACTGCTGGATACACACCAGGGAAAGTCTCCCTCCAGTCCACAGGGACAAGCACCAGCATCTCCCACTGCAGCCCTGACAGGGGGCAAGAAAAGGAGGGAATCTGAGTGGGCTTCACTGGGAGAGTGGAAAAGGTATACTGGTTGGACATACCCCATAAACTGTTATGCAGCCACCAGAAGCAGTAGTTAGAGATATATACATATCAACATGGTTATCTTAAAAGAATAGTGCTTAGTAAAAAACATAGTAAACAAGAAATATGGCACAGCCACTTACATGCAATTGCATACTCACAAGACAACATATATATTTTGGGAAAACACATTCAAATAAAAAAGAAACCATCGAGAATGGTTGCCTGCATATGAGAAGAGAAGGAAATGCAGATGATTCCTTGGAATCACACTTTTTAAATTTAAAAAATTAAATTGGAATTACAATTTAAATTAAAAAGTGTGATTCCAAGGAAGAATGAGATCAAATAGATGTTAACCTGGGAAGTGAGGTCCAGGGAAGGGAGTGTGTGTGTGTCATGTTTTGAATGAAGCAGTGTTGTAACGTGTGGGTGAAAGGGCAGACTCCAGTAGAGTTCTCACTTCCCCTCTGACTTAGTCACATTGTTGGTAATGACAACTGAGAGTTGTGTCCAAGCAGTTTTCCTCTTTGTCGTTTCCCCAACTTTAATTAAGTTCGTTTGCTTTTTTTTTTTTCTTGTTACTAAAGCAGTGTCTGCTCCTTACAGACTTACCAGAAAATCATAAGCCAGGCTAACAGAAAGATCCACAAACTGCTCACCCGCAGACAGTATCCAGATCCTTTTTTGTTTTGCAAAAATCAGTGAAACCCTTTCATGACTCAACTTTTCATGCAGGAAACAGTATATTATGAATTTCTTCTGTGTCCAGAGACACGTGTGTAACTTCATTTTTAATGGCTGTCTGGTTTTCCATTGTCCAGGGGCACCATCCTTAGCATGGCCAGCCCCCTTCAGCCAGACATCGATTGTTTCTAAATTTTGCTACTTTGCTTACAGCAGTGAGTGAACAGGAGCTGTTGAAGCTAATTCCCTGTGCTCTATTCCGCTCATTTTTAAAGGAGGTTTCAAGATTGGATTCGAAATTGTCTAATGACACAAAAAATCCACTCGGCATCATGGAAGTCAGAGCACCAGATCCCTTCAGAACCATTCTGGGGCTGGTCATGAATGAGAATAAGGAAGCAGGGTCATTCCCCACCGTTTGGAAAGGGTCATTTTCGTTACTTGTCATGGTGCCAAAGTACAATACGGCCCCCTGGTTTCTGCATTGTAATCAATTGGTGCACAATTAAACCACATAACGTCTAAAGGGAGCCCGTGTGGGCTGTGTGTATTGCCTCATATGGGCAATGTGTGATAGGGGCAGGTGTTGAAATAAGAAGCACTGAGTGTTTTCAAAACTGCAGGGAAATCACTGTTTATGTTTAAATCTATATCCTGCACCAGATGAGGGACCAGGATGAGCACGCCTAGGGGTTAAGACACAGTGTGTTTTTCTGAGCTCTTCCTGTCTTCAGCATACCCCCTAAACTAGCAGGTTTGAAGATTTGATTTAATCCTTCCAGTTGGTAGGTTTAAGCACCAGGAATCCAGTGCCAGTGTTTATTCCAGCCTTGGTAGTTCAGGCCTGGCCAGGCAGCTTTGCAGCCAGCTTGTCAAGCCCCAGAAGCAGCAGCCTTGGCGTGGAGGTGACTATGCACTGACATTTCCATGTCATTAGGGCACCACTTGTTTTGTGCAGGAGCAGAAGAAACACACATTTGTCTCTGCAAACTAGCCCTCTGTTGTCAAGAAGCTCTGAATAGACACACTGTTTCCAGGGCCTGTTTGGAAGCTCTTGAATGTGTTCTCCAGCCTGTGTATATATTAACAGAGAACCGTGTTACAGAGAATTAGCACTGGGCAGCCCCATCCTCCTGGCAGGCCAGGTGAGCCTCTGCATGACTTACAGTTGATGGGGGCAAGGACCGCTCAAGCTTCCAGCAATGCCTTCAGCTTCCTGCTTCCAAATAGCAGTGCAGGCCATAGCTGAGTGTTTTGACAGCTTATATCAGCAGTTTTCTTGGCTGATATATTGATTGCAGTTTGGACCTGAGTCCTGCTGATCTAATAAAACATCACCGTCATAACAGAGAAAGTAAAAGTCTTCTTTGTGGTCCCAGCCACCTGGCAAAGCGGCTTTACAGAGCTACTCTAAAGCTAGCTGTGGGGTCTGATGTAAACTGATGTAACCTTGGATGTGGATTAATTATTTTAAGTGTTTTTTTTTTAAATATAATCTCTTCAGCCATCAATGTTTTCGTTTCTTACCATGCTTCTGCATGTCAGTTTGGTTTATTTCTCTTCCTTGGTTCTTGTCTTGTCACAACAAACATTTGGAACGATGGACTAAAGGGTTTAAAAGAACAGACAAGTCACAGCTCAAGGAAACAGATCTTTTATTAGACAGATAGTCCCAAAACACGGGAGCAGGCCGACTGCAAAGGAGTCATCTTCCTCTCACAATACCTCCTGTCTTCCCTGTTTTTATACTTCCTGTCGCCTCCTCTTGGTTGTGTCCTGTGCAAAATAGGGCTTGTACCCACCACCAGTTAAAGAAAGGGAATGCAAATAGGCATAGGCTCAAGGCTGATTGACAATTGCAAGTTCTATAACAGCAGGTTCTGTTGTGTATGTCTTCTTATAATTGAGTCTGTTATAATCAGAAGCATATATGTGTAGAATATTCATGAACCCTTAATGGGCTCCTAGCTGCCTAAGGTTACTAGAGGAGGTCCCTGTGGTTAGTTTGTATCCCCTGTGTGCCTAGGGCACATGTTCAGGAGGTGGAAAAGTCTCTATGGTTACTTTATAGTATGTCTGTGAGTTCTCCTGGGTGCTCTGGGAGGGGTTTAGATATCAGCTTGCATCCTTTCTGGCTAGGGCACCCCTGGTTGCTCATGCCGAACTTCCTGCCTAACATGCATTATTTTTATAAATGTGCATCTGTTCAAAGGAAAACAAAGGTGCCTTCATAAACACTGACACAAGCATTGTACATCAGTGTCACCAATACCCTGAGACTGTGGCATTAACTGCACGCTCATTACCCTATCTAGGGGGTGAAATGCACATTTTAAAAAGTCAGCTGAAGTCCAGATTACACTTTAAGGCACATACAAAAATTTTTCTTGTGTTTTGGAATGGATGTTCTGATTATCTTACAATATTCCAGTTGGCCTGCTATCTTATCATAAACGTCCTTTAATTTCACAGCAATTGCTGACCATCCAGGAGGAGTTGAACAACAAAAAGTCAGAACTGGAGCAAGCAAAAGAAGAGCAGTCACACACACAAGCATTACTCAAAGTTCTCCAGGAACAAGTAAGTGAAAGCCACGGCTCTGACCCGTGAATCAGTTCAAATGCAGACACGCGCTTCCCCATGTTTGACGCATGCGCAAACACTGGCTGAAGTTAATCTGCAGTAGGATTAGCCTGGACCATCCCAATCTCCCAGCAGCTTTGCTGCGTGGGATTTTTAATCTCATCTCCAGCATCTCTGTTCTCACTTTGGTACCTCTTAGGCCACCCAAGCCTTCCAGCGATCTGTGAAACTTTCTTCCAGCAGACAAATGAATTTTGATTAAGTTTTAAAACATTGGCGATGCAGATAAATTTCAAAGCAAGCAGCTAGTTTCGTCTTAAGTCTAATCATGAGGAAAATGAGTTTATCATAGCCCATGGTCCTCCTGCAGACATCGGAATAAGAAGGACTGATTCATAGCGACATTAAAAAAGAAAACACGAAACTCTCCCCTGTGCATCAGGGCACTTATCTAGCCAGGGCGAGCAGCAGACCTTTTATACGAAGTTTGTAAATCTGATCATTTCATCCTGGCTTTCTCTGATACTAAAGTGTGGCCTGACATTGATAAGTGGATTTGAAAGTATTGTCTTACAGCAGGGTAAGATGGATTGCTTGGCAGCTAAGTGAAATCTAAGCCCTGATATCTACACAGGAGAAGCCAGGCAAGTTCCTGAAATACTTTCCTATTTCTGGCCTTCACAGGCTGCCCATGAAGTAATGAATGGCAAATGGAAGGGGGAGAAAATCACATATAGTAGCCCGAATCCTTTGGGAGTAGTCACATTTAGGTTGCTTTAAAATTTTCACTTACCATGGTATATGAGGAGGTCCTTTGTACAACATAAATCACTTCAAAAGTGATTTTAAAAAAAACAAGAACTATGAAGTTGGAGAAGTATGACCCTAGTCCACTGTGACTCAGTCACTGTACAAATGATTTTTACCTTTTTAATGGTTTGAAATCAAGAAAATGTATTTTCAGTCACTTTCCTCTAAAAGTGTAAGTGAATTGTGAGAGAACCTTGAAGGTGTCGGATAGTTTATAAGCTTTTATAGCTTTGGAGGAAAATACTTTCTTAAACTAATCATTACCTTTATATGATTAAGACAGATTCCATAACATAGACCGAGTCTGACTGTGTATGATTTTGGAGAAGTTAGACTGAACTGGGAAATACTGATGGCTACATTCACAGTGACTTACTGTCTAAGAGACCTGCAGTCTTTCCTCTGTTCTGTTCTTTCTTGCTTTACATTATGAAAAGGCTTCCAACAAACTGGAGCAGATTTGGTCCAGATTTGCACCTGATCAAACATACATGTCCCAGAGCTTTGTTGCTTTGTGTTTTCTCTGTCCGTCTCTTTGATTTACTGGGATGAGGAGGGGTGAATTCCTCTTCCTTTGAAGGACTCCAGTCCTTTATGTTGATTTGAAGTCCAAACCCCAGTCATAAAAATAGACGCTAAGTTTTGCAGATCGCATTGCTATATCCTTGTCATGACATGCATTTTTAAAGACCAATGCACACACATAAACTTTGGTGAAGCCTCACACTTCATTATCCATTCCTTAAAAAAAAAAAAAAAAGATACATGGGTAACGTAAAAGAGATTCAGAACAACCAAAATCACTAAAGACCTAGGAAGTATGACTGGAGAGGAAGCATTTTAAAATCTGCTGTGCTAATGGGATGGCTCTTTTTTGAGCAAAAGCCCCGAGAACACACAAGTCTAAGAAGGCCCGTGGAAGCCTAATGCTGTCGGCCACTCTTGTCTCCACCAGGCTGTTTTTCCCAAGAGCCCCTCGGCTGGTGCCCCTATCTGTCATCTTATAGACGAGGGCAGGCAGTGGACGTATTCCTTCTGTCCCCGTATAGCCACCACCCACACGCCCACACACGCGCGTACAATTGGAAACTCACCTACCTCTGCATGGGCTTGCTTGGTGGCTCAGGTGACAAAGAATCCGTCTGCAACGCGGGAAACCTGGGTTCAGTCCCTGGGTTGGGAAGATCCTCTGCAGAAGGGCATGGCAACCCACTCCAGTATTCTCACACACACACACACACACACACACAGGGCAGAGTGAAAGGGTAACACGAAGCAGGACAATGGAATTCATTTAGGCAGAAGAAGGAGAGCGCTGGCTGTGTTTGTGCTGGGCAACGTGTGAAGGTGGGACAAGCTTTAAATAAGAGTCCGTTCCTTCCGCTGGAAAAACAGCAAAACCTGCTTCTGAGCCAGCCCCGCTCTTAACTCCCAGGAGCGCTAGTTGCAAGGCGGGATGAGCAGCGAGGGAGACGGTGAGGGTCAGCATGGAAAGAAAACTCCCAGATGGGAAAGCCCAGCAGGGATTTGAAGGCCTCTGCGCCCTCTGACACAGCTGGTCTTCCTGTTGCCGAGATGCACTTGGCTTCTCACTTTTCTCACATGCTGCCCGCGTGCCCTCCTCCTTGTTGGGTGCGGGAACATCTGTGGTGCTGCCCGGAGGACCCCTGGACACATTGTCTCTTTCTCAAGCACGATGATGTGGAAGTGAGCCTTCACCGGCTCCACAGGTCCGCAGTCAGCTGCCCCATGTTCAGCCCCTTCACGGCGCCACGGCTTTGGCAGAGCCCTGCTCTTGACTTGGAGAGCGTGTGGCTTTCTTGCTGAGAGTTTGAGATCATCTTGCAAAAACCAAAGAAGCCTTCATGCTGACACGTACACAGAGCCCCAGAGAACCAACCTGAGTCAAACATATTGGTAGTGCATTTATTTTCTTTTCAAACTTTAAGCATTTATATCGCACCGTGAGTGCTTTATTTTAGGCATTAAAAAAAGAGAGTGCTGAAGATGCTGCTTCCTAAGCACAATAAGCCAGGAAGAAATACCAGCAAACAGCTGCAAGTCTGCTCACCTTTGCCCTTGTTCTCTGTCTCCATGTGTTTGCTTCAAGTCAGGCTAGAATAAAAATGCCAATTAAAGGTTTCCGGGAAATCTCCCGATAACTGATTACTCCTAAGCCTTCTGAGAGAGAACAGAGAGAAGGGCATTTTCAGATGTTCACTGTTAAAAATCTCAGCTGAGAAACAGCTTTTCTTCTAATGCCTCGGTGACCAAGGAGATGAGGTCCCATTTCTTCCTTTCCAAAAAGCAGCAGAGCATCTTCCTGTAGGAAGCCTCCAGAAACCACGTCAGTCGTTCGAATAGTTTCCCTAGGAGGACGCGTACAGTAGCGCTGCAGCGCATTAAAGCAAATGAAAATACATCACTCCCGAATAATCATTAGTACAACATCATTTAGCTGGCGGCAACTTGCAAACACTGCAGGGTTTAAATTAATAGCAATACAACGAGGAAATGAAATCATTTATTATTCTTAAGAACCAATTTTATACATTTTATGCCTATGAAACTGCTTTCTAATCTTATTATTTAAAAATAATGGCCAAGGCCCATTTATTTTTTTGCCACCATCAAGTTTCATAAAATATTGGCCTCAAACTGGTTTCAGTAAGACTCGTTAGAATTATGTGCTCCATCTGGTTTTTTTCTTGTTGGAAGTTTTCTCGAGTGTAGCCTCAGATCAATCAGGGTTAACAGGATGATATGCACTTAATAGATATGCCTGCTTATTCATTTGGGTTTTTGTTTTGTTTTTTGTCTTCAAACCTGCAGTTGAAGGGTACCAAGGAGTTGGTCGAGACCAATGGCCACAGCCATGAGGACACAAATGTAGGTACCCCGAACCTGATATTTGCTCTTCTTGCTTGGTGTTGATTAAATGCCCATGAGAAGGTAGCACTTTTTAACACAAAGGAAGTCAGAAACCCTGCCTCTCAGTAGCAAGATGACTAATGTGTGGTTTGGCAATAAAATAGGGTCGGTACTATTAGCTTAGGTTACCAAATGCCAACGTAGACGTATCTGAGCTAATCTCTGTCATAAAAGTTCCAATCTCAATGAATTCATTCGAGCCCTTTATGTTTTCAAAGCTGTAAACTAATGTGGTGCTAGGATGGCAAATGGAATGAGACCCAGCAGGATAATAAGTTGTATATTGCATGTGTATTTGGTAGGTTTGCCTGGCAGTGAAGATGGTAGTGAAATGATTGTGATAGCCATCACAGTGAAATGATTGCTGTGCTGAAGAGGTTTCAAAGCAAACTTTCTCCCAGAAAACCCCGTGAATGTGTTCCTGCCTCAGTCTCTGACCCAGATCAGTAGCGTGGTGCATCCTTACTCTTGAGAGAGTCTAATGGTACCCAATCCCACTTGGCACCCAGCTTCTTCTCCTTATTAGTCAAATTCTCTCTTTACCTTGTAAGTTCTTTAGTCCTAGATGAAACAGTCCGCCGTGTAGATCATTGTCTCTCACATGTTTGATGATTTTGTTTTTGCCTTTTCTAAGATCTCTTTGATGTCTGTCTGTATCTGACTGGCCTCATCACAGAAAATGCTTACTGAGCAGTTCTTTTCACATAATGCAGAGTCAGACATGATAATGAATGCCTGATTAAGCTAGAGCTGGGAGAAATTACACATCTCGCATTCACTGTTGTTTTAATTATATACAGCAGAGAGCCTGACATTCGGAGTACCAAAGAATCCCTCTTGATAGCTTGTTACTCCCAAACAGATATTTGACACATGATGCTTATTGAGAACCTACTGTGTACATGGGCCTCTGCTCAGTTCTGGAGGGGTGGTTACAGAGAAATATAAGACTTGTCGTCTTCCCTCAAAAAACTACGACAAAAGATTGATAAAATAAGGAACACGTGGGCAGGCAGCACACAAGATGAGATACACATATGGGAAGGTGAGGTGGATGTGATGTGATGTGGTTTGAAATCCGGACTTTGCTACCTAATCGCTATGTCAGCTTAACCAATTACTAAACCCCTCTGAGCTTCATTTTCCTCATTTGTGAAATTATCTGCAAAGCCTATCTCAAAAGCTTACAGTGATGTAATAAGCTAAGGCACATGGAAACCCAAGATGTGGTTGTTACGGCTTCTCCATGATGGATAATCAAGAACGACTTCCTGGAAAGTTAGGGAAGGAAGCCATTCACCCAGAGCGCTCCATAGGCAACAATGAGGTCTGAGCGGTGTTTGTTTTCACCCTCCAGTGTTCTGTTACTCCATCCCTACCCAAAAACCCTTTTTCAGGATCCTGGCTTCCAGGGACATATTGCTGCTGTGTTTCAGAATTTTTGTGTGCTTCGCCGCCCAGAGTCAGCCCCTCTGTGCCTTTCAAGGAAGCTGCTGTCTAATCCAATAAGCCAGGCAAAGTGGCAGTGTGCCTCAATCTCCTGATCTGTAAAATGGGGTGATAGTACCTCCCTCTCCTTCCTTACGGTTTACTCCAGGAAGCAAATTGGGTACTTGATATGGAACCACTAGGAAATTGTGAGGTTCTAGCTGCGTGGGATGTTGTTGAGATTAGGAACTCATCTGCTGATGGGATTAAATTGGATGACGCATGGAAAGATAGGCCTGACACAATGTCTAGTCTGTAAGCTCTTTCTTACGAAATGTCTAAAGACATTTATTATTGAATGGAAAAAGTGAAAAGACATCATCTTTGAGGTCTGATGTCCTCTCTAAAGGAAAGTTTTAATGTTTAAAAATACCTCTCTAGGTACTTCCCTGGCAGTCCAGTGGTTAAGACTCTGTGCTTCCGATACAGGGGCACATGGTTGCTCCCTGGTCAGGGAATTAAGAGCCCACATACCATGAGGATAGCCAAAAATTTTTAAATTATGAAAAAAAAAATTTTTAAACCTCTCTAGAATCCATGACATGTGCTTTGTAATCAGCCACCGTAAACCACCATTGAGAGATGTTATTCTGGCAGGCCGAGCAAGGAGGAGCAGGACCTTGCTGGGAGAGACAGTGGAGAGAGATTTGCAGTCTGATGGAGCCTGGTAGCAATAGCTTGTCTTCTCTTACTGGGCAGAGGGCTTGGCTGGTTTCTGTAACCCTAAAAATCGCCTGTTCATTCAGGTGTTCCCTGGAGGTGGATTATTCCCTTGCCTTTCTTTTTTCTGTCCTGTTGTCTCCTTTAGGTAACTTCCCCAGCACCTCTCTTAGGCTGCAGTGCAAGATGAGAAACAAAAAGTAGTTATTTGGGCCACACATTCAGAGCACTAGCAAAATAATTTAAGGTTTTTTTTTTTTTTTAATATCTGTGTGTCATCTGAAGTTTTCACCCTGTGGTCAGACTGAGAAGGTTTGCATCCACTTTGATCACTGACTAGCCATGTGACCAGAACCAGTGATTTGACCTCTTAGAACTTGACCTTCCTCATCTAGAAGCTACCTATGCAAAACCCTATATATAAACACCTGGCCCAGAATACCTTCTCAACAGGTATCAATTCCCTTTTCATGCATCAGTATCCAGCAGTATTTTAATACAGTAGACAGTGCTTTGACATGGTGAATTTTAATGCAGTTCATGAGGTTTAAAGCTTCTGGCTCAGAGGTTATTGACTAAGGCATATAGGGTTTTTTTTTTTTCAACCATGATTATTCACATGCAAGGACAAAAATGTTGTACATTTATCATTTATTAATAATATACAGTGGATTGGCACTGGCTTTGCGGGGTATTCTTGTGAGAATTAACAGTTGCTTCCTTGAAACAATATATTTTATTAGAAAAGCTTTGTATGAAACTGGAAAATTACCAAAAAGTATACAAAGGTAGGTAGTGAGGCTTCCCTGGTGGCTCAGTGGTAAAGAATCCGCCTGCCAAGCAGGAAACAGGAGTTCAGTCTCTGGGTTGGGAAGATCCCCTGGAGAAGGAAATGGCAACCCACTCCTGTATTCTTGTCTGGGAAATCCCATGGACAGAGGAGCCTGGTGGGCTGCAGTCTGTGGGGTCAAAAAAGGGTTGGACACGAGAGAGTGAGTAAACAACGTGCAGAGGTAGAGAAAAATCTCATTACTCAGAAATAGTCACTATCAGTAGTTCATTTTAGTTCTTCTCAGTCACATGCATGTATATGACCAGAGGGGAAAAACCATTAAAAAAATAAAAGAAGAAATAAATATGATTTCATAGTGTCTTCTGTTTTACACCTCTCTTATTTCTCATTATACCAGGAATACTTTTCATGTCAACAAATGTTCCTCAAAAGCATAGTTCTTAATGGCTGTAGAACGGAGACATGAACTAATTGAACTGCACGCCTAATGTGTTAGGCTTTTAACTTCTCATTTTTTTTTAACATTATAAAAAATGCCATGATTTACACGCCCATAAATCTTGGTCCGCATTGCTCCTTTTTGTTTCTGGGGGATTCTGTCCATTAACAGCTGTGTCGCAAAGTCTGGCAGGGAGATTCGGAGCTCACAGAACTGCTGGGTGTTCAGAATGTTAGGACGGGAGCTTCCCTAGTGTCTCAGTGGGAAAGAATCCACCTGCCAGCGTGAGAGACATGGGTTCGGTCCCCTGTCCAGGAAGATCCCACATACTGCAGGGCAGTTAAGCACCACAACTATTGAGCCTGTGCTCTAGGGCCTGGGAGCTGCAACGGCTGAGGCCCTGGCAGCCTGGAGCCCGTGCTCCCCAACAAGAGAAGCCCACACGCCCCAACTAAGAGCAGCCCCCACTCCCCGCAACTAGATAAAAGCCTGACAGCAACAAAGACCCAGCACAGCCGAAAATAAATAAATAAATTTTTTTTTTAATATAGAAAGAATGTTAGTGCGGCACATGCACACAGATCGCATCCATCAGTCGTCCTAAAGGGATCCACTCAAAGATACGCTGAGTCTTAGCAATTTAATAACTCATTGGCCAATTTAATCTCAAGAACCGAGCTTATGGGACACTAGCTGCATGTAATCAGTCAGTCACTTATACTTTTCTGTTGTTTTCACATCTTCTGGAGCAACGACAGTATCTGACTGACACCTCATTCAGTATTCTTGAAGTCCCCAAACAGAGGTACCCTTGCAAAGCCCACCCTTGTCCCCATGCACAAGACCTTCTGTAAGCTCGTGCCCGTGAGAAAAAGATTCTGACGACTAATCTACAAGCATTAGCACCAGAAATAGATCGATTGCAAAGGCCTTTTCTCTAAGAGGACTGCGTTTGGGAGTTGAAATAGGTTTTTCTCTGTATTTGGAACTGGATTTGTATAAGTACATCCAAGTTTAAAACTAGCCTTTAGCACAGATCCTTTAGAGATTTCAGTTATTCCAGAACCAATTTTCTTTCCTAAAAGCTCAAGCTATGATTTTTTTTTTTTTTTCCTCTCAGCTCTCTCTTAATTCCTAGGATTGCTGAATAACTAACCTGGTCCCAGCTTGTTATATGTAACAGATATTAAAATCTCACTTTAAAAATTGAATCTCAAATTAAATTATTGCTATTAATGTATTGAATTAAAAGAATTTAATATCTGTCCTCATCTTGCATCTTTTTTAACAACCTTCCTCCCAAATGCCTCCCAGAGGTATCCCATTGCCAGCTATGATCCTTACATACATACGTTTGGTGGAAGGGAAGAGAGAGAGAAAGGCTATGAGAGTAGGAGGGATTGAATAAAGTGGCTACTTAAGCCAGCATTGTGTACAGAACAATTTATTCTCAAGGTGTTCCATGAATTTTGTTTTGTTCTTGCTTGGCCACACCACACAGCTTGTAGGATCTCGGTTTCCTGACCAGGGATCGAACCTGCGCCCCCTACTTTGGAAGCACGGGGTCTTAACCACTGG